TCTATGCACATCCTCATCGATCCATCCTTCTTCTTTACAAATAACATCGGCGCACCCCAAGGCGAGACACCGGGTCTAATAAAGATCTTATCAAGAAAATCTTGCAACTGCTCCTTCAACTCTTTCAACTCTGGCGGGGCTATACCGTATGGCGGAATAGAAATGGGCTGAGTGCCCAGAACCAAATCAATACAGAAGTCAATATCCCTGTCGAGTGGCATCTCCGGAAGGTCTGCAGGAAATACCTCTGGATCCTCTCGAACAATTGGTACAAAATCCATGGAAGGAACCTCCGACTAGAATCACGGACATAAACCAAATAAGCTAGACAACCCTTCTCGACCATGCGCCGAGCCTTCATATAAACAATAATCTTTCTGGTAGAATGACCAGGAGTCCCTCTCTACTCCAATCGAGGCAATCCCAGCAAAGCTAAGGTCACAGTCTTGGCGTGACAGTCCAATATAGCATGATAAGGTGACCACCAATCCATCCCCAAAATGACATCAAAATCAACCATATCGAGAAGTAGGAGGTCTACACAAGTCTCAAGACCCCCAATAATGACCACACATGAATGATAGATACGATCTACAACAATAGAATCCCCCACCGGTGTGGACACATTAATGGGAGCAACCAAAGAATCACGAGGCACAACAAAATATGAGGCAAAATAGGATGATAGGTACGAATAAGTAGATCCCGGATCAAATAATAGTGAGGCATCCCTACTGCAAACTGAAACCGTACCTGTGATAATCGCGTCAAATGACTAAGCCTCAAGCCTGGCTAGAAAAGCATAGAATCTGGGCTTGGCCCCACCACTCTGAACTGCATCTCGAGGATGGGCCTTGTCTGGCTGGCCTCCACCTCTAGCGGCCTTACCTCCACCTCTAATACCTCGGCCTCCAACTCTAGCTATCTGACCCCTACCTCTAGCTGGCGGAGCGGGTGGCAGAACACCCGGTGCCGGGACCATGGCACGAGAACCATGATGCGAGAACTGCTCGATGCTCGAGGGCAATACCTAGCAATATGCCTCGGATCACCACAAGTATAACAAGATCTCGGCTGCTGTGATTGATGACCCTGAGACTGACCCTGGCGGCCTGAGTAACCACCTTGAAAACTCTAGAGCAGAGGTGCACTGATAGGAGCTGGTGGTGCACCGTAGGCTAGCTGATCGGAATACTGCATATGAGGGCCACGGCCACCTGAAGCACCGTGAGAAGCCTGAAGTGCTGAATGAAACGGCTTGGGAGGATGGCCTCTGCCAAAAGTACCCCGGCCTCCAGATGAGGCCCCACTGAATCTACCGGGGTGACGAGGCCTCTTGTCAAACCCCTGACCACTCCTTTGAGCTAAAACCATCTCAACTCGTCTAGCTACATTGGCTGCATCCTGGAAAGAAATCTCGCTCCCTATCTCCTTATCCATCTGCAATCTGATAGGCTACACAAGTCCCTCATTAAACCTCATCACCCTCTCTCTCTCGGTAGGAAGTATAAGAACAGCATGACGGGCCAAATCAATAAAGCGGGTCTCATACTGAGTAACAGACATACTGCCCTACTGGAGACGCTCGAACTGCCTGCGATAGTCCTCTCTCAGTGTAACAGGAAGGAACTTCTCGAGAAATAGCTGAGAGAACTGGTCCCAAGTCAAAGCAGGCGACCCAGTTGGTCTGGCCAAACAAAAATCCCTCCACAATTTCTAGGGGGAACCCGTCAGACGGAAGGCAGCAAAGTCGACCCCGTTGGTCTCCACTATCCCCATGTTACGTAACACCTCATGACAACTGTCCAGATAGTCCCGGGGATCCTCTGATGATGTACCGCCATAGTGAGTGGTGAAAAGCTTGGTAAACCTATCCAATATCCACAATGCCTCAGAAGACATAGCTGATCCATCGCCGGTCTGTGCCGCAACATCCGGCGGAACTACCCCAACTAGGTGAGCTGCTGGAGTCTGAAATTGGGGAGCCATCTACTCCAGAGTGTGAGTAGCGGGAGTCTAGGCTCCTCTCCCAGCCTGAGAGACAGTTGGTGCTACAGGAAATGTGCCGGCCTGAGCGACACTCTCCATAAGGCCCACTAGACGGACCAAAGCATCCTGAAATACCGAGGGGGGGGGGGGCGATAAACCCCTCTGGAACTTGAGCTGGACCTGCTGGAACAGTTTGGGCTGGGGCCTAACTTTTCGGATACTAGGCAAGCCAATAGTTAAAGATTTAATATGCTAACCCTTGACCAAATAAGTAAATAACAACAATTAAACCAAAACAGATTAAAAGAATGCAAAATTTTATAATAACCCAAGTACTTATACACAACTACCCAGAAACTGGTGTCACAATTCACGAACTTCTAAGAGTCACTACAAATATTGGTTGAAAGAAAGTGCAACTGTCTTTGAATTAAAAGAAACAGTAAACTGGAATAACTGGAAGGGGACTCCAGGGTCTGCGAACACCGGCAGATCTACCTTGGTCTCTTGTGGGTTTGAAGGCAGCAACTCAACTCGGGTCAATTCGGTCCAGTACCAGAATCTGCACAGAAAGTGCAAAGTGCCGTATCCGTACAACCGACCACATGTACTGGTAAGTGCCGAGCCTAACCTCGGCGAAGTAGTGACGAGGCTAGGACAAGGCACATACATAAACTTGTGCAGTTAAACAATATGCTAACAGAAATAACAATTAATAGAAGCTAAGGAGATATTAACGGGAGGGGAAACATGCTAAGGGGTACCAAAATGAAGAATCACAGCAGTAGAGGAACTTAAACAGCTAGTACACCTTGAACCAGTATTAACAAGTAAGCACAACAAGTTGAAACGTGCATGGCATCACCCTTCGTGCTTTACCACTCAACCTCACCATATGAATAATAGAAATGTGTACGGCATCACCCTTCGTGCTTTATCACTCTACCTCACCACATAAGTAATAGAAACGTGCACGACATCACCCTTCTTGCTTTATCACTCTACCTCACCAAAACAGAGATAACAATAATAGAGAGATAGAAATGACAACAACAAGTCTTACTTCAACACTTAGTTCCACAATACCAATCTCAACCTTGAGTAAAAACCCCATCAATACGACATTCAATAAAACATGACAAGAAATTTCTTAACACCTCGAATAGCTAGTTTAAACATGAACAATATGATAAAAAATACAACATTTACAAGAATAAGACTTGCTCACATGCTATGACTCAACAACAACGTATAGATACTTGTCACCTCACCTATACGTTGTACTCAACATCGAAACACGTAACAAATAAGCAAATAACACCTAATCCCTCAAGCTAAGGTTAGCCACGATACTTACCTCGCTCCTCCGGCTAAACTCAAGGCTCAATCACCGTTTTTCCCTTCACACAAGCCTCCGGCCAAGAGAATCTGGCAAATTACCAACCAAACAATTCAATTTACCTTAGGAACTACGCATGATATCAAAGAATTCAATTTAGGCCATTTTTGAAAAAGTCAACACCCAGGCCCGCTTGGTCCAAACCCGAAATTCGAACCAAAACCCGATTACCCATTCACCCCGAGCTCGGATATACAATTGGTTTTGGAATCCAATCTCAATTTGAGGTCTAAATCTCCAAATTTTGAAATCCCTAGATTCTACCCAAAAACCCCCAATTCCACCATGAAAATCCTAGATTCTAGGATGAAATCTTGTAAAAAGAGGTAAAAGATTGAAAGAAACTAGTTAAGAATCACTTACTTATGATTTGGGGAAGAAAAAGTCTTTGGAAAATCACCTCTTGTGTTTTAGGTTTTGAAAAATGGGAGAATGAGTGAAAAATCCCGTCCAAAATCATTTTTGACCAGTTGCAGGTATCACATTTGCGATCAGGGGTTCGCAAATGCGAACCTCACAAATGCGAACTTTACTTCGCAAAAGCGAAGACTGACCTGGGCCTGCTAACATCGCAATGCGAACAAGTGTTCGCAAATGCTTACTGAGCTGATCGCAATTGCGATCCTAAGCTTCGCAATTGCGAAGGTCCCCTCCCAACCCTACTGCTAGCAAATCCGATCTTTCTTCGCAAATGCGAGGCTCGTATTTGCGAAGTCTGCAGACCTGAATCATACCAGCAAAATTTCTTAAGTCCAAATCACTCCGTAGCTTATCCGAAACTCACCCCGAGCCCTCGGGGCTCCAAACCAAACATGCACACAAGTCTTAAAACATCATACGAACTTGCTCGAGCGATCAAATTGCCAAAATAACATCTAAAACTATGAATTTAGCATCAAATTAAATGAAATTCTTGAGAACACTTTAAAATTCCTATTTTCACAACCGGACGCCCGAATCACGTCAAATAAACTCCGATTTTCACCAAATTTCACATACATGACTCAAAACATTATATTAAAACTGTACCGAGCTCCGGAACCAAAATACAGGCCCAATATCAATGATATCAAACACTAATCAATTTCTTTAAATCATTAGATTTTCAGACTTACAATTTTTAACAAAAATTCATTACTCGGGCTAGGGACCTCCGTATCCGAATTCGGGCATACGTCCAGGTCCCATTTCAATACGGACCCACCAGCACTATCAAATATGAGTCCGGGTCCATTTTAGTTGACCGAAGTCAACTAAATCAACTTTTAAAGGCAAAAATTATTATTTTTCTCAAATTTCCATATAAAGGCTTTCCGGAAACGCGCCCCAAACTGTGCACGCAAATCGAGGAGGAATAAAATGAGATTTTGAAGGCCTCATAACACGTGATCGAGTTTTAAAACATGAGATGACCTTTTGGGTCATCACAAATATAGATTTCCAATCGAAAGCAATGAGAGGATAGCAAGAAAAGACCTCTAAGGGTCCAAACAACACTGGCATAAGGCCTTGTCACGCCCCAAACCTAGGGAAGCGTGGCTGACACCCGGTGCCATACTGGCCCGAGCGAACCACTCTGTAACTCTTTTTTTTTTACTATCATGGGCTAACATGGCCACAACTCGTAGTGCATATCTATAAATGGGTAAACACTGTATTAATGAACCATTGTTCTTAAAACATGAATACATATGGGCCGTTAAGGCCTCTCACATACTGTACAAAATGAACCTCCGTCTACAAAGACTCTAAGAGTATTAAACATCAAACAGGACAGGGCACCGGCCTACCCATAAGTCTGTAGCAAAACTTTGACACAATGACTCATATACTCGGCTGCACTCCGAATGAGGTGTAGTCTTACCGATCCTTCGCTGAATACCAACCTCGTCTACTATGAGGACTCGTCAAACTGATTATCGATACCTGCAGGCATGAATGCAGCGTCCCCAACAAAAGGATATCAGTACAAATAATGTACTGAGTATGTAAGGCAGATCTGAAACATAACAATAAGTCAACATTAATTAAATACATGGAAGAAATATAGAGTAAATGACTCAACCTGTAAGTTTGGATGACTCTGTAAATCATGAAATATTTATAATGTCATGCATATGCGTGTAAATGTCATATAATGCATAAGCCTGTATGTACATAATATCATTAAGCCTATGAGGGCATCCCATCATATCATTTCAGCCACCGTGGGCAAAATCATCAACGTATACCAGCTGATCAGGTGGTGTTGCGTATATAACGCCGTAACCTTTTTCTCATATCCCATATACATATATTTACATATATACGCATATATAACGCCATTTGGTGTCACTGTAGGCAAAATCATCAACGTATACCGGCTGATCAGGTGGTGGTGCGTATATGATGCCATAACCATTTTTCATGTCCCATATGCATATATATACATACGCGTGTATAATGCCATCTGGTCATGGGTCAATGTGCATGTATAAATGCATGAAATGCATATGAAATACGTTGATAAAATCTCTCGGTACTTCATAAGACCATTATGCCTCTGCTTAATACCATGAAATAAACTTTTTTTCAACTTACGTATTTTTCCGAGACCCATGAACAGATGATAGAATAATGTGACACATGGGAAATCAAGAACATACTTAGACCTGCTTGAATGAAATTGGACTGACTGATGTAAATTATGTCATACAAAATGACCAAGTTTTCTCTAGAGACAGATTTGCCCACGAATATTGTGCATGGAAAAGTCCAACCTTGAACTTCAGCCAAACAACACTTGAAACTTGAATAGATAGCAATTGGGAAACTAAATCATACCTGGTTGACTTTAGCATGTTACTAGAGAAAACATGCAAGAACGAGATGTAGACGGAATCTTCATATTTTCTAAAGCTTTAAGTCAGTAAGGCTCCAGCTTGTATTTAATCATTCTGATTAGAATGTACTCAGGACATCCTAGCTCTGACTTGCTAAAAGAAATGTTCTACTAATTAATTGTTTAACCTAGTGGAATGAATTCGTTGTATGTGCGTATGTTTTCCGAGATAGGTTAATTAAGTTGGGATAATCTTCAATTTTCTAAGTTTTAGTGTCTCATACATGAGTAAGATCAGATATATAATATAACAAAGTATTCTGTTCTAGATATAATCGATGCATGTGTCTGAACATGCAAGAGCTTCTATATTTGTTCATCGTGCCTAATGCCTATACATGCATACTTGATAGTTGATCCATCTGGCTGTAGTTCTTTACCTGTATTTTCTTTTTCTCAAATTAAAATTAATATCTCAGTTTCAATACTCAATTCCTTAATTTTGTTATAAGTAAAATTAAAATATATTCCAGGGTAAATCAAATTAAAAGGGCTCTTTTTTGGACCAGTTAACTAAACTAAACGAGATTAGATCTGAGTAATATCCAAAAATTCACAAAAAGTATCCAACCTTTTGAAATGACAAGTAATAATGGCCAAAGACAACCTCAAATGGAAAGGCAGTTGAAAACACCTTTAATCTTAATGACAAGCATTGGTATCCAACACCTAAAGCTATTTATGATTGTATAATGAAATGGCAATCTTACTATATAGGAACCAATTATAAACACAACGTGAGAACAAGACTATTTATGAGACCTTCACTAGAAAATATCACTAACATATGAATGAATAACATAGACATCCTTAATTGCTAAGAGTAGAACCACTTATGGAATAACATTACGTTTACGTTTACTCGGATTGCTAAAAGAAAGAAGAATTTACCTTAACATACCTTTAAAGCCAACTTTCTACTTGTATCCGTGAAAAATCTCCTCCACGCCTCAATCTTATATGCCAAAACTAGTCTTTTTCCACTTTACTGTTTGCGACGGTATTTATGTCGTAGTTGGCGACGGTATGAATTAGCCAAAATCATCACGAAGGGAAAAATTAAGTAGTTTCGGATAGTACATGGGCAAATGTGCACCTTTTCGCAAAAAAAATCACTCTTGGAGCCAAGGAATAGAGGCTGGAATGATGATAGCCTAACTAGAGATTTAACAGGGAATTTCTTGGTTGGCAATCACTATTATAATGATAGTGCAATCATAATAACACTGATTGAAGCTAAGATCTTGAAGAAGATCTTTTTAAGAAAGGAGATGAAAATACTCTCTGGTTTCCAACATATACATGTTTTTTTCTTCCAATACTTTAATTAGGAGTAGTATATATATCTCTCTCGTAGCCACTTGAGTTACTGCTACTAGTATTAATTTACATGACTATTTAGGGCGGTGACCGTTTATTCCAGTATTATGCTTGGTGAACTATTGTTCATAAATCATTTCCTAGATTCCTTTGAAAGTTTCTTAGAAAGACACCTATTTTATTGACTAATGAGTCATCAATTAGAAGGTGAGGGGCTGCCACGTGAGGATGGGGTGGGTAAGTTTAATCTCTATTCGCTTATTAGTTAATTAGGTAATGTCCCGTTACCCGGTAATTAATCAATTACTCTCATAATTAAGAAATGTCTCAAATTACTTAAAATACTACTCAATTTTTTTAATATACTTTATATATACCCTATTATCATGGTCATGTGCTAGCATATAAATCAATACATACACTATTATTTTATTAAAATATCCATGTAAAAATACATATATTTTCTCAATTTTTAATTTTCCTAATCTCATATAAAGAGTAAAACTTTTCGTATGCTTAATTCTTAAAATAGTGAAAAGATAATCTTCTTTTCTTATGAAATAATAATTTCTATCTTTACAATAAAGAAAATCTCATAAACTTCCTCATGTGTATAATTTAGAATATATTCGAAAGTAGTAATATTAATAACTATATAAAATTATATTTTTCAAACTTTTTACAAAAATATTTCACTCAATATAAATACAATATAAAAAGTATCTAACGGTATCAAAATTATTTTACCAACTTTATTACAATATTTATTGAATTTTATGTATTTTATAAATACTTCTTGGTTCAGTTTACACAATTACTTATCAAGGATTTGATTCAATCATGCATATAGTAAATCACGTGTATGGCTTAGAGCTGGCATGGAGGTAATAAATTTCTATTTTTATTATTTTGCTAACATCGGGATATGAACAATGTATGATCTATTTTTGAAAGTCTCAATCGATAAGAGGTCTTTAATTCAAGTTAGTATACTCCCTTCGTCTCTTATTAACAGTCGTGATCAATAAAAGTAGTGTCTCAAATCCTCTGTAGAAAAGTACGGGATGTAACAGGCCTAAACATGGCATTCAGCCTAATCTACATAAATTCTTGCTAAAATATGTAGGAAGCATGTAGTTCAACAAAATATTCAGCTTTACAGTTGATACGGGACGGACCAAGTCACAATCCCCAACGGTCACGCCCACACGCCCGTTACCTAGTATTTGCGTCACCTCAAAATAGTCACATGGCACAAAATACGGGGTTTCATACCTTCAGGACTAGATTTACAATCGTTACTTACCTCAAACCGATCAAGTCTCTACTCCGCGATGCTGTTGCCCCTCGATTCGGCATCCAAATGCTCCAAATCTATTCACAACCAGTACAATACCATCAATATATGCTAAAGAAATGAATTCCACAAGGAAAACTACCAAATTAGACCAAGAACCCGAAATCGGCTCAAACCCGGCCCTCGGGCCGATGTCTCAAAATCTGACAAAAATTGTAAAACTTGAAAACTCATTCACTCATGAGTCTACCCATACCAATTTCATCATAATCTGACCTCATTTGGTCCCTCAAATCCCCGAATTACTCTCTCAAGAACTCTTCCATTTTTTCCTCAATTTTTCACCCCAATTCCCAATTTAGATGACAGAAATCAAGATACAATCATGGGATTTATCCAAAATCAAGTGAGGAACACTTACCCCAATCAACTCCCTGAAAATGCCTTCAAAAATCGCCCAAATCCGTGGTCTCTAGCTCAAAATATTAAAAATAGGTTCAAACCCTCGATTTTAAATATAACACTGCCCGCCCAGATATTCCTCTCCGAGAACGCGGTAATACCCTCGCGTTCGCGAAGTACAACTGTCTCAGCCCGAGAATTTCTTCTACGCGAACGCGATACCCCACTCGCGAATGCGTACCTTATCCATCTCAACACATATCGAACGCGATGCCTTTCTCGCGAACGCGTAGATCAACTGCCTGGGGTCCCCAGCTACCTCATTTCTCTTCGCGAACGCGACCTCTCATACACGTTCGCGATGCACACTCAGGTTCAACCTTTGTGTTCGCGTCCTCCCCTTCGCGAATGCGATGAAAAAAAATTCCTCAGCTCTGTATAACCCTTCGCAAACGCGATGAAGGAAATCTCTGCAACAAAATACCAGAAATATGCAACCTTCTAAAGCCAAATAATGATCCGTTAACCACCCGAAACTCACCCGAGGCCCTCGAGACCTGAACTAAACATACCAACACATCCCATAACATCATTCAAACTTAGTCGAACCTCCGAATCACTCGAAACAATGTCAAAACACCAAATTACCCCCGGATTCAAGGGTAAGAACTTCTAAACTTTCAAATTCCACAAACGACGCCGAAACCTGTCAAATCACGTCCGAATGACCTCAAATTTTACACACAAGTCAGAAATGACACCACAAACCTACTCCAACTTCCAGAATTCCATTCCGACCCTGATATCAAAATTTCTACTGCCGGCCAAAATTCCAACTTTCGCCAATTCATGTCTAATTCTACCACGGACCTCCAAATCATATTTTGGACGCGATCCTAAGTCCAAAATCACCTAACGGAGCCAGCGGAACCATCAAAATTTGAATCCGTGGTTGATTACACATAAGTCAATATCCGATTAGCTTTTCCAACTTAAACCTTCTCACTGAGAATCATTTCCTAAATAAATTCCGAGTAACCTGAAAAACCAAAAACCGACGATTACATAAGTTGTAATACATAATACGGAGCTACTCAGACCCTCCAACAACTGAGCTAAGTGCAAATTTCTCAAAACGACCGGTCGGGTCGTTACATCCTCATACGTTCGTCCTCGAACGTGCCCAAAGTTGTTCCAAGAGTCATCAAATCGTCGTGTAACCTTACCATGCACATACTTGGGGTAATCCCACGTCACCCTATCCCATATAGGTCCGATAACACAACATGACTGAAATTTCTTAATCCAACCTAGCCCATTAGCCTTAGAATCCAATTTCCACATCCGAAATTTTCTACAAGATCAGAGTCACACATCCACACACTGTATAAGCCTGAACAAGATGTATCCAGCCATAGCTATAACCCAAGATGAAATCACATGATACACCACATAACTCAAACACTCACAACGATGATTTCTAATCACAGCAGCTGCCCAAAACAACCAAATGCTGGTAATAAACCTCTTATCAAATAGAGCCTCATTCTAACACCTTCATATACTGCCACCGATGAATGAAGCACGCAAAAACTCATAACCATTCATCAGGTCAACCAGTTGTGGAACTCCCTCTCCTTCGACCAGAACTATAGCCAATTTCTAAGCCGATCAGCGACATTACCCTTTTAAATATACCGCAATCAAATCCGATAGCACCCATTCTAGCTCTGACGACCTCATATTATCAAATAAAAGCTACTCTACTGGCATGCCACACCAATACTACCCAGAGCCACAAATCGTGAAATCTGTGCACCAATACGCAAACATAGAAATGACTCCAATGAGAGAACTATCCCGCAAGCTCAACCAATACCACCACATCGCAATGCTAAGAACCCATCAGACACTGTAGAACCAAAACACACTAATCTAACACAAAGGATCATATTCCAACATAACTTTGTTGTAATGCGCGATCCCATCCAAACACTGGTCCACATAAAATACTTCAAGTCAAAATGCTAAAAAATCAACAACCACGCGCAATCCGACGTCTAGCACCAAAAGTGTATGACCATAACCACTGAGAAGCAAATAACTCAATACCATAGTCCGGAATGAACATAATTAATGTGCAATCAATCATTCAAACCCTAATACCCATCCCGCTCAAATTCTGCCGTAAGGCACAGATAAAACCGCACTATGGGTGTATATAACCAACGAATCACAACCCCTCGTAGCATAGAAGAGTAACTCATAGAACATATTGGAAAACGAGTTCTAACCGAATGACACATCCCTCAATAAAAACAGTATGGAGTCACCCAATCCGACCCGGTGTAGAACACACATCCATACTGGGCCTACCATTGAAGCCCAAGTCAACTCTGGTCACCCACGATAGATAAATAACCCTCCAAAAGTCCACATTAACTGATTCACAACACATGCTATCTTCTGACCAACCTCGGCTACGTTTTCATAGTCCACAACCACGAAACAATCTACTCATAAGAACTCCCAGTCTCCAAATCCAAAGAACACACATATCACCATATCCGATCTCAACTCCACCGCCTGAATGTCTAACACTATTCCAATACATGATCATCCCACAAGGAATACTTCTAAGATTCTTCTATGCCACAAGGAAAAATTTGAACACCAGCAGTAGATCAGACAAGAGAGTGACACAACACCAATGAAGCATCCATAAATCAAAACACATTTCCCCTTCTGAAATGTATACTCTCATCAAGCCATACCAAGTAGAAATGTCATTTACCTAGTCATCTGAAACTGTCCATGCTGCCTAAGAATTCAGGACCTTCCTTTTAAAATTTGAATTGTGACCTTGCACATGCAAATCTCAATCCTACATGCCACACCACACCACACCTATTATGCCATCATATGAAAAAGACAAAAACCTCAAGATCAACTCTGAGTCGTAAGAAAACTACATACTCAATTAGCTAAGAATCTTCCATTTGATCCCATCCAGGAGAAAATCACAACACGCAACATGCTCCACACACCAGTAGGAAATATACATCACAAACCGTGGTAGAAACCATAGAGAACTCTCCGAATCCAATTTGCGCAAAACCAAACCGTCAGGACTCAATCCTCCTATCTCAACCAAGCTACGAAGGTCACCAAAAACCCAAGAGCATTTCCAAGAAACACCTGTAGAAACCTACCACATCATAGGCACCCAAAGAACCAATCATATCCATTACCATGCTGATCCAACCTACTACCAAGCTGTCCTATTTATCCGAGTTCCTTCTGAATTACCTTCAAATTGATACTTCTCCTCGCCATAATACCACAATCCTCAACCAAGACTCACCATACGAGAACCTAGCATAA